CAGTTGTGAAAGGGTGCCAATACTTTTGTCCAGCCCATTTTTGGAGGTTTGTGTGACATTATGTCGAATTTGCTTTCTTTCCTCCCTTTTTTTGTTTTGTCCCAATACACACAAAGGGAATAAACATGTGTATAGCAAAACATGTGTTAATGCAATACGTTTCGTGAGAAATACATGATTTCCTGGAGAAATATCAAGGGTGCCAACAATTTCGGCCATGACTGTATATATATATATATATATATATATATATATATACACATACACATACACACACACACAGTGTGTATATACAGTGCTCAGCATACATGAGTACACCCTTTTAGAAGAGTAAGATTTTAATCAATATCTCAATGAGCATAAGAAGAATTTCAAACATTCGTTACATGAAAGTAAGGTTAATAATATAAGTTAGATTACAGTTTTACTCAAATTAGTTGATGCAAAAATGAATACATCCCACAAAAAAAACTACTCCATCTAGTATTTTGTATGACCTCCATGATTTATATGGACAGCACAAAGTCTTCTAGGCATGAAATTAACAAGTTGGCGACATATTGCAACATCTATCGTTTTCCATTCTTCAAGAATGATCTCTTGTAAAGCCTGGATGCTGGATGGAGAGTGATACTCAACTTTTCTCTTCAGAATTCCCAATAAGTGTTCAATTGGGTTCAGATCAACAGACATACTTGGCCACTGAATCACTTTCACCCTGTTCTTCAGAAATGCAACAGTGGCCTTAGATGTGTGTTTTGGATGATTGTCATGTTGGAAAAGGGCACGACAACCAAGGGCACAGAGTGATGGTAGCATCTTCTCTTTAAATATAGAGCAGTACATCTGTGAATTCATAATACTATCAATTAAATGCAGCTCCCGACACCAGCAGCAGCACTCATGGAGCCCCACAGAAGGACACTGTCACCACCATGTTTCACTGTAGGCACCATGCATTTTTCTTTTCTACTCCTCACCTTTGTGACGCCATACAGTTTTGAAGCCATCATTTCCAAAAACATTTATTTTGGTCTCTTCACTGCAGAGTACAGAGTCCCAATAATCATCTTTTTCAGCATGGGCCCTGACAAATTCTAGGAGGGCTTTTTTGTGCATGGGCTTTAGGAGAGGCTTCCTTCGTGGACGACACCCATGCATGCCATTCCTCTGCAGTGTACACCATATTGTGTCATGGGAAACAATCACCCCAGTTTGGCTTTATACTTCTGTAACTAACTGCAGTGGACTTGCATGGTGATTTTCTTCAACCCTTCTCATCAGAAGATGCTCCTGACGAGGTGTTAACTTTCATGGACAGCTTGGACGTAAGACGTAAGATGATTGCAGTTCCATCTTTGCTAAATTTTTTTTTAACACTTTTGCTACAGTATTCTGACTGATAAGTAAAGCTTTGCTGATCTTCTTGTAGCCTTCACCTTTCTTGTGTAAAGAAATAATTTTCTTTCTCAGGCCATGTGGCATTTCTCTTCCATGTGATACCATTGCTGACAGCATGAAATGGGAAGGGGTTTTCTTTGTTAAGTAACTCTCTTTTATGATCAGCTGTCTGCTGGACACCTGTTTAATGAATAATTAGACTCACCTGTAGTTGAATTCTTGTTAATTAGAATTTTGCTGTCTAAAATATAGCTACGCTCCTTTCAAGGTGTTAACTTCCATGGATTCATCTTTGCAATATGCTCATGAATGAATTTGTTAGGAAAAATACTTTTTTGTGTGTGCAAATTAACAAATCTTGTTTGTGATCAATGGCCCGCATTTGTGGGAGTATTTTGTAGTATAGTGTCCCATAAAAAATGTGATTCTGAAAGGAAAGTAAAGATTTTCCTTCAAATCTGCTGGGGTGTACTTATTACATGCATAATGCTACGAGCTCCGGTCTTTATTAACCTTGTCTTGGAGTGGTTGGAGCCATTATATGTAGTGAGATCGATCTGGGAGGATCATCTGTTATCACTTTGGGTGGCCAGAGGAAGAGTATAATCGTCCATTTTCCTTGATGTCATCAACAATATTCTATAGAGCGCAGATTGACCACTCTTAGTAAGAGGTCACATACCTTCTGGTAAGCCATGCATGGTATTGGATGGTGTCACACTGGCTATCTTTGGAAGTCTTCTGATCTCATTACGGCATGTGGGGACTGATCTAATTTGATTTCATCATATTATTACAAATTTTTGAACACTTTGTGATTATTTACAATTTTTACACATTATCATTATTATTACCATATTTTTCGCTCCATAACACGCACCTCCTGTCCTATGTCCGCAGTCTCCGGTCACCTCCTGTCCTATGTCCGCAGTTTCCAGTCACCTCCTGTCCTATGTCCGCATTCTCCGGTCATCTCCTGTACTAAGTCCGCAGTCTTTGGTCATCTGTAGTACGCCCGCAGTCTCTGGTTATTTCCTGTGCTGCAGTCCATTGGTTCAGAATATTTTTTTTCTTGTTTTCCTCCTCTAAAATCTATGCGTCTTATGGTCAGGTGAGTCTTATGGAGAGAAAAATACGGTATGTTTTATCATTATTATGATTTCTGTATGAAATTAATCTTGAGTTTTGAGCACTGCACTATTTTAACATTTTGATAGAGGTGCTTGGTATCAAGGTATAGTGTCCAGCTGCCATCTATTGAGCGCAGATTTTGGGTTACCCTAAGTATAAACAGGTTTGTTGTTTTTTTTTAATTTAAGCCTTTAGAATCACTTTAACAGACACAGGTGTCTCCTTCCCCCCCAACAAGTTGCAAAATTTCTGTTTATTAAAGTAGAACTATAGGCAAACCTTTTTCCTGGTGCCAACATGGCAGCATATATATATATGTACTAGTAGCCCCACCTACTTCTGCCCATAGGATCAGTGCATACCTATAAAGATTTAACACCCACACAACAGCCTATTCATTTGTCCTCACGGAACTCACAGCCAGTGTGAAAAGAATAAACCCTTACCTGCCACCTTTTGGTTGTTTTCCGCACAGGTTCAGCCTCACATGTAGCGCAGTCCCTGACCTGACCTGAAAAAATTGGGTGCTAACTAGCCCCACATACAGTAGTGCAGCAGGGACTATGTTTCTCAAAAGTACTGTCTGTGTCTGGAGCCTGCCTCCTAGAAATGAGTGGATCAATGGAACTGTGACACCACATTTCCAAGACGAGAATTTATCTGTCAATATCTTCATGTGTTACATCTCCTCTTGGATGGGTTGCAACTGCACTGTGTTTCAGTGTGCATTCTAGTGGTCATTGTGGAAGGAAAAGCTAAATGTCTACATTTAAGGGAACGATGCATAATGCTTAGATGGCATCACCCCTACAGGAGACGTCTTATTACACGAAGCGCGTCTAGGAGGAGCCTCTGCACGCCTTGACGTTACGCCACCGGATCAGAAGGTCCGGTGGCCACCATTTTTTACCCACTGGTCAGTGTATTCTAAGAGCTCATTTCACACCATATCTGTATAGGTACTTTAACCCTGTACGTGTATTATTTTAATATAATGATCTTTACCCAATAAATACATTTCATAATACTACACCATGAGTATTTCCATCTCTATCACCTGGCACTGAGCCTTCACATCTCAGCCCAGCATTTTAGGAGTCCATCCAGGCAGGAGAATTTGGGATATAGGTCCAGACCATCATCTCTGGCAGCCGTCACCCCATTTACCATCAGAGGGCACCTCCATCATCAGGCTGTACCTTCACGGGACTTCCGGCTTCATGGAATTTCTATGTGCACATTAAATTGCACTTCCGGTGAGTGGGCAATTTTTCTACACCTTCATTTTAGGATGTTGAAATATACCCATTTGGATTGAAGTCATTCATACTCCATCACTGGAATATACCTTTTTGGACTCATATCACATCACCTTGGACTGTATATTATTCAGTTTATAGGACTTTTTTGTCATATTCTGTCATACTTGTGACAGTGTGTTTTATTTGTATAGCGCTGCACACCCCATTTTTATGTTATACTTTTTGAAAGGTTTTGTGGTTCCTTTTTGTGCATCAGCAGCTGTACTTGGTGCGCTCGCTAACTCATACATTTACACATAATGCTGAGCTGATGAAGTGGATAGAGCTCACATGGGAATTTGGGCAAGCACTTCTCCAATGGCCATCTTAGAGTTGGACAAGACTGCCTAGAAGCCATCTTGGAAATGGGCAAAGTAAGATGGTTGCCAGGAGTTGGAGGCAGGCAGAAGAGTGGAGGAACATCGGTTTAAAGACCCAGTGGCTTACAGATAGGATGTTCACAGACTAGAATTGCATGCCTGCACGTCCATAGTCAAACCCTGCATCAAGGGCCATTTCCTGCTAACCAGCAGATATGCCCTTGCTCATGTCTCAGTGGTGCATTTTTACCAGGGGCGGACTAACCATTTGGGTACTCGGACACTACCTGAAGGCCCAGGGTCATTAGAGGGCCCGACGAGATGACCCTAGTACCTTTCATAGGCTTTTTTTGGGTGTTTGAGTGTGGGTGAGAATACAGACAGGTAGGTATTTTGCTACTAAAAGAGTGCATTCAGGTGCTAACAGGCTTCTCCCTTGGCCCACTCACAGAAATATACATTAGCAAAGCCCTTGAGACTCCAAGTGATCAGAAATAGCTCAGCACTATTAGAGCTGACAAACATTGCTGCCCATGAGACCCTATGGCAGTGATGGCGAACCTTTTTGAGCCCAAGTGCCCAAACTGCAACCCAAAACCAACTTATTTCTTTCAAAGTGCCAACACTGCAATGAAACCTGAATATCGAGCTTTTGGTTTAGAAAAAACAACTCGTACAGTAGTGCAAACTAATTAACAGTACAGGGATGACCAGAGACTGCGGACAGTACAGGGATGACCAGAGACTGCGGACACAGTACAGGGATGACCAGAGACTGCGGACACAGTACAGGGATGACCAGAGACTGCGGACACGGTACAGGGATGACCAGAGACTGCGGACACGGTACAGGGATGACCAGAGACTGCGGACACGGTACAGGGATGACCAGACTGCGGACTGCGGACACGGTACAGGAGATGACCAGAGACTGCGGACACGGTACAGGAGATGACCAGAGACTGCGGACACGGTACAGGTACAGATGACCAGAGACTGCGGACACAGTACAGGAGATGACCAGAGACTGCGGACACGGTACACTGCGGGTACATGACCAGAGACTGCAGACACAGTACAGGGATGACCAGAGACTGCAGACACCGTACAGGGGATGACCAGAGACTGCAGACACAGTACAGGGATGACCAGAGACTGCGGACACAGTACAGGGATGACCAGAGACTGCGGACACAGTACAGGGATGACCAGAGACTGCGGACACAGTACAGGGATGACCAGAGACTGCGGACACAGTACAGGGATGACCAGAGACTGCGGACACAGTACAGGGATGACCAGAGACTGCGGACACAGTACAGGGATGACCAGAGACTGCGGACACAGTACAGGGATGACCAGAGACTGCGGACACAGTACAGGGATGACCAGAGACTGCGGACACAGTACAGGAGATGACCAGAGACTGCGGACACAGTACAGGAGATGACCAGAGACTGCGGACACAGTACAGGGGATGACCAGAGACTGCGGACACAGTACAGGGGATGACCAGAGACTGCGGACACAGTACAGGGGATGACCAGAGACTGCGGACACAGTACAGGAGATGACCCAGAGACTGCGGACACAGTACAGGAGATGACCAGAGACTGCGGACACAGTACAGGAGATGACAGGAGACTGCAGACACAGTACAGGAGATGACCAGAGACTGCACAGTACAGGAGATGACCAGAGAGACACAGTACAGGGAGATGACCAGAGACTGCAGACACAGTACAGGAGATGACCAGAGACTGCGGACAGTACAGGGGATGACCAGAGACTGCGGACAGTACAGGGATGACCAGAGACTGCGGACTGCGGACAGTACAGGAGATGACCAGAGACTGCGGACAGTACAGGAGATGACCAGAGACTGCGGACAGTACAGGAGATGACCAGAGACTGCGGAAAGCACAGGGATGACCAGAGACTGCGGAAAGCACAGGGATGACCAGAGACTGCGGACAGTACAGGAGATGACCAGAGACTGTGGACAGTACAGGAGATGACCAGAGACTGCGGACAGCACAGGGATGACCAGAGACTGCGGACAGTACAGATGACTGCTGACTTTGGGGAGGGAGGGGGAGCGGGTACCTGAATTTGACAGGTACCCGCTCTTCCGCAGAGTTTTTTTTTTTATCTTACCTGTTCCTTTATCCAGCCGCGCGCTGTCTTCCCGGCTTCTGTAGTGTGGGCGCTCGTCGGACAGCCGGATGCCCAGTGCGCATGCGCGAGAAGCGCTGCGCTTTGTGATTGGTCCGGCGGCTTCTGGGATCTGTCATGTGTCCCAGGTACCGCCTTACCATTCACAGAGCACTGCTTCTTGCGCATGCGCACTTGGGACCCGGCTGTCACGCACACTACAGAAGCCGGGAAGACAGCGCGCCGCTGGATAGAGGGACAGGTATGGTCCCACTGCAGAGCTGAGCGGCCGGCCCGGTATTCTGACACGGCGGCGGTGGAAATACCGGACCGGCCGCTCTATATTCGCTCCATAAGACGCACTGACATTTTCCCCCCTTTTTTGGGGGAAAAAAAGTGCGTCTTATGGAGCGAAAAATACGGTATTCTCCTGGCGTGCCCACAGATAAGGCTCGGCATGCCGGCTGTGGCACGCGTGCCACGGGTTCGCCATCACTGCCCTATGGGATCGGTAGTTTTGTCGTCGCCTTTGCTTAGGGAGGCGAGTGTTTTGGATTGGGTGTCTAGCACGGAACCCTTTACAAGTTTTTACATACAACAAAATTGTTAAGACTCAGTTCTTCCTCTTGCACAGGGTTGTTTCTGTCTGTTTATCAAACAAGACAGCATTATCCAGTTCTTTAACCTGCCCTCAGTTTACTCAAAGAAATTTTGTTTCTATTGGTTCGATATGGTCAGGAGGGAGAGTCTACTGCTCAGTCTCTACTTTCCTCCTGTTGTTCAAGACAGTCTTTGTTCTGATGCTACAATTTTTTGTTCCACCATGTCAAGTTAACTCAGCAGACTGTTATCCAACCCCATGGTCTAGGGTTCAGGTGCCATCCTGTCCTGACAAGATGCACTCTACTAAATTTGTGAGTGTCCTGAGCTTTTGGTCACAGATTACGGTTTCTCAGATCAGCAGAGCTGCCACCTAAGCTTCTATCCTCATTTTCTCTATGTATTACCAAGGGCTTGAGATGATTGTAGCTGTATTAGTGCACTTGTAACAGGAGTGGTTGGGTGCTATCCATGGTGCCCTTTCTGTTTGTGGTGGTGTCGGGTTTTCTGGTGTGCCCCCTTAAAGGAGGGGGTATGCGTCGGGGGGCTTGTCATGTGGATTTTGATTATGGTGCAGATGGGGGGGGTGCTCAATTGTTTTTCTACCAGGTGGACATTCGGTTTCATCTGAAGCCAGCTTCTGGTATAAGAACCCATGGGCAGACTTTTCGAGCTGCAGGCAGTTCACAGTTTTGTTGTTGTTGCCTCAAGTGTTTTGGGAGTCTGTTTGCTTATTCCACAGCGGGACTACTTTGACCAACCTCAATACATCCAGATCAAAGATAACATACTTGCTAGGGTAAAAGGTGTCAACGCACAGTCATCTTGCTTTTCCTAAAGTTAATTCAAAGAGCCACCATATGACTGGGCTGCAGCCATCGGAAGCATTTGCTTCATATAAGACCAGCAGCATCTTGCCATCATGGGCACCTTACATAGGGGTGTCAACTGACATGATAGGCAGTACAGCCAAACATGTCCTTTCATAGCGTGTTTCTTCAGCACTACTAACGGACTCTGTCTTTGGCGAGAACTCAGTAGCTTATTCACTTTCTTATAAGATAGGATTTGCTTAAGCTTCCAACCCTGGTAGCTAGTTACTGGTCTACCACATGTATGCTGCCATGTTGGTGCCAGGAAAACAGAAAATTGTATCAAATACTTACTGTAATTTTCCTTTCCTGGCACCAATCCATGGCAGCATACTGAACATACCCAGTTTGTTCCTAGCGATGTGCAGGGAATGGGCTGTTGTGTGCATGTTAATTCTCTGTAACTATGCATTGGTCCTGTGGGCGGAAGTAGGCGGGACTACTACCACATGTATGCTGCCATGGACTGGCGCCAGGAAAGGAAAATTACAGTAAGTATTTGATACAATTTTCCTTTTTTTTTATTTTGGATAGAGTAAAGGAAGGTTATAACCCCTGTCTCTTTATTTTTTGCCATCTCTGTCCCATTTGGGAGATTTACCTTCACTTCCTATCCAATAGCCAAACAGGAAGAGAGAAAATCTCTGCAAATTATGGTAATTCCCTAGTGTCCCTATCAGAAAATTTCCCAGCTATTACTTTTCTGGGTACAACCCAAAATTTAGGAATTTTCTTTTCCTTTCACTTTTGATGATAATGGTAAACTGGAAAAATAAAGAGGGTGATTCTCCCTATCAGGGCACAGACAGCAATAAAAACATAACAGCTGTTCTAATTCATCTCCATTCTGCCAAAAACTAAAAAAAAAAAAAAAAGTTTTTTCTTTAGTTATACTTTAATGCTTTCAATATTAGAAGTGCACATTATATCCTCCGGAGGGCATCCCTGTACAACCCAATCCTCACCAACATCAGGCTATTAAAACAGAACTCCAGTTGAAAAGAAGACACTAAAATACAAAGCCCATTAAAAGCTAAAATAACAAAACCTACTTTTGCTGCAATATTCAATGCAAAGATTTAACATAGAAACATAAAAGGCAAAGAAAGGCCAAGTGGTCCAAGTCTGCCCCACGTTTTGTTTAACTGTGTCAGATCTATGTATGTCACAAGAATGTTTGAATCCTCCTACAGTTGACTGACTCTCTGCCTTTTCTGGAAGTCTATTCCAAGCATCAACTACCCTTTTAATAAAATAATACAATCTAAGGTTAGTGTTAAAATTTACTCCTGCTAGTTTGAAATCATATTCTTGATCGTAGTTTCATATTAAATATAAATACTGCCCTTCTGAACCTTATTCACACCCTTAATCTATTTGACGGTATCAATCATGTCTCCCCTTTCCCGTATTCCCTTCAGACTGTACATATTAAGTTCCTGATGTCTCTCCTGAAATCTTTAATTCCCAAGACCCTTCACCATATTTTCCTGTCTCTGGACTCATTCTATCTTATCAATATCTTTTTGTAAGTGAGGTCTCCAGAACTGGACACAGTATTCTAAATGAGGTTTAATTAAAGCTGACAATAGATTGATCAAAATTCAGCCAGTTCAGCAGGAACCAGCCAAATTTCGATCCATATGTGGCCATCCCTTTTCAAAAGAAGTTGATGGTTAGATCGACTTCTGTCAAATGGGAATGCTGTAAAACCTTTGCTGATCAGCAGCTACAGACGCTGCTCAGTGTATGCTTTCAGTGGAGAATTCCGCTATCGGAATACAATATCTCAGTGGGGGATTCCAGCCTAAAGATTTATATAGGGGAACCAGGATGACCTTCCTCCTGATGGTGACCCCTCTAGTGATAACTATAGATTTATATAGTGGAATCAGGACCTCCTGATGGTGTCCCCTCTAACTAGTGATAACCTCCTAATGGTGACTAGTGATAAAGATTTATATAGGGGAATCAGGACCCCTCCTAATGGTGACCCCTCTAGTGATAACTGATAAAGATTTATATAGTGGAAATTAGGACCTCCTGATGGTGACCCCTCTAGTGATAACTAAAGATTTATATAGTGGAATCAGGACCTCCTGATGGTGACCCCTCTAGTGATAACTAAAGATTTATATAGGAGAATTAGGAACTCCTGATGGTGACCCCTCTAGTGATAAATAAAGATTTATATAGGGAAATCAGGACCTGCTGGTGATGACCCCTCCAGTGATAATTAAAGATCTATATAGGGGAATCAAGACCTTCTTCCTCCTGCTTGTGTTTCCTTTAGTGATAACAAAAGATCTATACAGACTGGAATCAGGATCTCTTTCCTCCTGCTGGTGACCCCTCTAGTGATACACCCTAGAAGTCTAGTCACTTTTCTTACTGCCTGACCACACTGTTTGCTCATTTTGCAATTCTCTGGAATTTATTCCCCCAAATGTTTTTCCTCTGTAGCTCTGGCTCAACACTGTACTCCAAATATTGTACTCTGTCAAGTGCTTATTTTTCCCCATGTGCATTATTTTACATTTAGACACACTGGACTGCAGTTCCCACTGTTTTGACCAATCTTCCAGCAATGCCAAATCATATTCCATGTTACAGGCACCTCCAGGGATGTTGACCCTATTGTAGATTTTTTGTGTCATCAGCAAAAAGGCATGCCTAACCACCAGACTTTTAGTTGTATCACTTACAGATTAAATAGAACAGGACCTAGTACAGAGCCTTGGGTACACCATTGTTGATGGTCTGAATGAACCCCATTTACAACCACGCTCTGGTATACTTTAATCAGATGCGTATACACTGAACCACCCAAAGGTTAAAGTGATATTAAATCCTCAGTTTCAGCAACCGATTTACTCACTTACTGAGTATGCAGCTTCTTTATCTTTTCTTCTGTGCCTCTGATCCAAGATGGCTCCTTTTCTCCTGCAGTGCCCTATGGAGCCATCCTTGCATGCATAGACTAGAGCTGTATCTTCCTACATTGTGTGCATCATTGGAAGAAAACACAGCCCCATTTTCTAGGATGGCAAGGCACTCCCCTGCACCCCCCCCCCCTTTCTCTAAGCTAACAGACTGACTGGAGACTACGCAGTCCACTGTGGACACTTGAAGACTTATTAAATCACCTCAACTTCTGTGAAGACCAGAAGCTCTGGAAAGCAGCACT